GTCTCCGTTCAAAATCGTTTTTCGTGCGCAATGGTTAGGAGAGTGGTACCCATGTGTCTACCTTTTTTATAATTTGTATTTAATATTTTTAACAAGATATTTTTAAACTCACGCTTATTTTGAATGTGAAGCCAAAATCATTTATACTACATACAATGTAGGTATATATGTACCTACGTAGTACGTATAGAGTGTGAAGTCCCATGCAATTAAAAATATTGGTACAAGAAAGGAAAAAGTTTATTTTGTAAAAGAAACACGTAATACATTCATAATATTTGATTATAGTGCATAGTTTTGTAATTCCATCCTTCTTTCTCGTGGAAGTTGCAGATGAGTCACGATTTGTATTAATATTTTGCACTTTCTTAATTATTGCTCAATAAACATTGATAAAAGTCTATCCCAGCAGTCCATGCTTATTTTGTTCAGTAGTTAAGTTTTGAATGTCTGCATGATACTAAGTTTTGAGTACCGACCTGTAATCGTATTATGATCCATATTGCGGATAGATTATAATTTGTAATGGAGCTGCGTCTGTAAGTAAAGGCTCAATCACAATCTCTCGTGCACCTACGATTTATGACCTACCTTCTCCAACTGTGGAGCTTGTTATAACAGTGCCTCCTCTGCTGTCGGTTAAACAGAAAAAGAAAATTGTGGAGCTAGATCTGGTGACCATCACTCATTAATCACATTGATTAATTGTTAATTACATTACCCTATTCAGTGACTTCATTTTAAAAATAAAATTATTTTCTTTTGAGCTAACTTGTCCTATATTAGTGTTCTATCCTCTATTTAAATCATTTTAAAAGTTATTATTCGTATAAGTTTTTAAATTGAATAACTATCTATGAACTTGAGTTCTTTTTACTCACAACACATATGTTTGTGATTTATAATCTGCGTTCACCCTTACGCATAATCATTGAAGTATAATAATTGTTGTTAATAGTTTATTGAAAACAAGTTTTAGGTCTGACAAAAAAAAATGTATAGTTTCGTGTTTTGAGAATGTTCTCTCAAAAGCATAACTTGTTGTGGTACAAAGTTTGTGTAATATTAAACTGTAGACAAAAAAAATTGTTGTACATCAATAAAAGCTGATTACGTCATAAATTATTATTGGGAATGATTAAAATTATATTGAAACCCATTTAAATTGTTCGTTTTGGTAGCTGTTTGTTAAGATTTTTCAATAAAAAAAACAGCTCCAATGGTAACAAACACCAAACGCACGGCTTTATGGTCAGACCTTATTGCTTAGTATTACACAGTGATGGTGTTTATTAGTTTCAAATATTTGTAGCAGAAACATTACACATTATTATATCTTATTTAGCTATTCACTGTCTATAGTATTACGTAATTCAATTTTGCTTATTAACAAAAATACCTCAACCGAGTTAATTTCTTCCACCTATCTCTTAATCTCTGTATATATAAATTATTAATATACATCTCTATGAGGCTTATAGACTCGAAATCTATTAAACCAATTGGCACAAAATTTTACATTCGTATTTCTAGAGATTAGAAGAGTTTTCATAGATACGTTTTTTAACCCTTATCTTGTCATAGGGTGGCTCACACAGTCACACATGAATTTCTTTTTGCTTACGAATCGAATAATTATTTGCTTATATATAAAGTTGACAATGGTCTCAAAAGTAGCAGAAACTTTTATGTAATCTATATAATGTTTCATAGTTATGTATATAAAAATTAATGTAAGTTTGTAGCTTAGATACTCCAAAACTAAATGACCGATTTTGGCGGTAAATTCAAATTTTGGTTAGAGATATCAGACAAGTTTAGAGAGTGTTAGTTAGTAAATATAGATTATGATATGTAAAAGAAACAAAAATATTTTAGTATTTGAATGACAATACAATTGTATTGATTTTGTACGATGAGTGTTAATTTAACACTGTTAAATAATGAACAAATATGAGATCATTTTTATTGTTAATAAAGAATGAGTTTAGGTAAAGAGTTCCAATATTTTCCATTTTATAATAATCATCAAATACATGACATAAATAATAATTGCATAACCATCTTCACAAAGAATAACTATTTGTCTAGGTATTTATTTCTCATATTACCAATGATGTGACCCAAAAGTATTAGATAATACACAGTAATTTAAAAAACAACATAAAAGATAAAGAAAATATAGTAAAATGTTGACAGCCAACATATTAGGTACCTACAAATGTATAATTGTATCGTGTATTCCCAATTTTATATGCACCAATAAATATTTAAATTTGAAATGACAATATGGATATAAAATAGTAGAAACATTTTTCCAAACCCTCAATCCCAGAATTATTGTTTTGACAAGACAATTTTTTAGCAACTGATTAATAATATATAAATATATAAATAATACATTTAGTGAGCGGTATATCTATCCAGTATAAGTATAGATACAAATTGTATTAATCGACAACACACAATTTTATTATTAAGCGCAAATGTCTAAATAATATTTTATTCATATACAAATATCTTTTAACTATTATGAAAGTATTATGTATAGGTACGCATAATTTAGGACTTGTAATTAAAACGATTTTTAAGAGTTCAATGTGTCGGTTACAACTGTTACAAGACAGCATTCAGAAATTATGTTTTGGTTTAGGGTTTTTATTTAATTGCTTTTATTTTAGTTTCATGTACCTATTTAATAATATTTTTTAGGGTTTCAGTTATCGACGTATAATGACGTAACACTTTATTTCTGTAGATATAGATTTAAATGGAAAAATAGGTGGTATTGTACAGTTTATTTTATATAAAGCACCTCCTTCTTCCTACATTAATTGTACAAAACAAGCTTCTGATGAATTACACACTACCAAGACCGTAGCCAGAAAAATATTTAGGGGGGTTTTGAGTATAAATAAACCTCCTATAAGATTTAGAAGCTCGTCGTTGGCATAAGCATAAACATTGATATACTATGGAAAATTGAAAATACTTATGAGTATAATATAATATTATGTGTATATCGAGGTTATATATTTTTATTGTAGGTTTATATTTATGTATAGGTATCATTGGTATGTGTGACAATACTTTTTCAAACTTACAACTTTCCAATTTTTTGAATTCATTAAAATATTACCCCTCAACTCCATGCATACAACATAGAATATTTACTATAATTAAGAGAAAGAGATCTGATAATGAACAAAATTGGCCTGATTAAACTTTTGCTCCCCTAACAAAAAAAAACTAATATGGCACCACTGAATTAAAAAGCTGTAAGACTCTTTAAAATCGATCCCGTGGTTTTAAATTGTTTAATATTATACATAGTTATTAATATTATGATGACTTAATGAACGGGCTACGGACATGATTTTATTGTTATTTTATTATATCTATTTAGCTGAAGTTAGTTCACATGCAGCTGTTGCCCGTCGACCATTTATCGCTAAATACTTCTCGCAAATTGTACGATCGAGTTAATTTCACCCACCCGCCGTATCGTATCTCTTCGCAAACGATATACCAGCTGTGTTGATACTTGATATTCACTCTTGTTCATAATTATATATTTTATGGCAAACACATGAAAAACTAAATAAGTCTTGACTTCTCGAGTGACGGCTGACATAAAATATTATGTGGAATAACGCAATTTCATTATGATGTATGACATAATGTTGTACTTTCGTCGACATAACATTTCCAAAACGCGTAAATGATGTTTAGGTATATTATTTAGAAAGTTCCACTTGTTGTGCGTTTGTAATTCTGAAGAATAGAAAAAATGATTGAAAAAAGTCGAGCTCGTATAAAAACAGTAAATTATAATCAGCAAATAAGGTAATTATTCGTCGTTTGTGCAAGTTACTTTAAAAAGCTAATTTTTGTACTAAACGTTCGAGGAAACATATAATAAAATGGGGATGAACAATATTGCAGTAATATATAACTAAAAATAATAATAATAAATAATAATAATGTTATGTCAGTCTTGTAAGTTAGATGAAGTGGGCTTAAGGATTTTAAATAGTAGACATGATGACTTTGTCTTTGGCATAATCAGTAGTTAGCTGCATAGTGGTATGGTCAGCACTCGGCAGGAAATATACTGACAAACAGGTGAGATATGAATATATGATACTACCACATGGCAATGTGGCACACCAGCATTAGTTTTTAAAATTCCCAAAGTTGAAGAGCTATATTGTCATACTGAACTTGGAAGTGACGGTGAAGTAAATTTAAAACTATAAAATATAACGTATGGAAAACTCATTATCTAATGCAAATTAGGTATCAATCAAAATCTAATATTATTTATAAAGTATTATAACATATTGGTTGTTGCATTAGTAATTACTAATTACTATAAACTATGTTTCAAAATACAAAATCACAATATTTGTTAACTAAAACTAATTTGTCAACTAGGTATGTACTATAAGTGTTATAGTCATTAATAATGCTAATAACCTCGCTGTTGATGCATTTACCCATTTACAAATAATAATTAGTGGGTATATATGGATTGGTCGTCAGTTGTCAGTTATTTGGTACAATAAGTTTATCAAAGCCATAGTCCACACAACAATTTCTTTCAGTTCATTTAAACACAATCCAGTCAATTTTACATTGTCTTTTTTTTACAATTCGTCAATACCCCAATTCAGTGTTTCTCAATCATTTTTAAGTTACCAACCTCTTGAGTAGCAATCAATTTTTTAACGCCCTCCAAGTGAGAATTCTATTATTAAGGGTATGGGAAGAGAGATAGGAAGGGATTTGATGATTTCGAAAATTAAAAAAAAATTGAAATCATCTAATAATTCATTTTTTTGTTTATTTTTAATATTTAATATTTTTTTATTTGTATTACCTACTAGTAAATTAATTAAACTATACATTGAAAAAAAAACTTAATAATGTTATCAATTTATAATTGTATACTTTATAATAAGTAAATTAAAAAAAAAAAAATTCTAGACTAATTTGTTTTTATAGACATGGTTTTTGATTGTTGAATAAAAAATAATGGTATTAACTCTTAGCTTATGGTATGGGCTTTTTACGATTTAACAGGATTTTATTAACTGAATATTATTTTATTAAATTGGAAATAGCAACAACTATAATGAAAACTAATACAACATGCTCGGATCGAATCAAATGGTATATTAGAAGGTTGGTTAATATAATAAAATATATAATAAAATAAAATGTGCACGCACAATCGGCAAAATAATAAAGATGATAAATTGAAAAAATCAAAGAGAAGTTATTGTGCATTGTTCAACATAATAGTATCTATCAGTGACTGATAGTTATTAAATGGATTATCAATTAGTATGTATTATTGTTGTATCATACCATGTACAACCTTTTTTTATAAACACGCTTGCCGCCCCTCTTTTACCCAAAACATATTCACCGCACCCTCTACCACCCAAATCAAATCCACTGCCCTCCAGCTCTTCTCTATCCCCTTTGGGGGGGGGGGGGCAGTTGAGAACTACTGCTCTAATGGATTCAGAATCTATCCTTGTTACATACATCAGTATAATAATAGCAATTTAATAAAGCAACCTTGTGCAATACCAGAAATTTGTTTTGATCGAAGTATATATCTACCTATATAAATATATATAAATATTTTTTTATTCAGAAATGGTACAATCTATACTTAAGTGATGGTATAATAAGCATAAATAATGTTTTTTAATTATAATGTGGTGGCTTGAGGAAAGAACCAACCAGTGAAGGCACTTCGGAAACAAAAAATACATATACATTAAATAAAAAAACGCTGAATTAAACAAATTAAGACACAAGTTTAAAGAGAACAACATGTATTCATAACGTAAATGTAAATCATAAATGTTAGTTATTCAATGTTTAATATAGTATCGGATGGTTCACATTTTCATTACTCACTTATTGGAAAATATGAAAATCTTTTGTTATTCTAATTAACTTAAAATGCACTTACAGAATACAGGCGCAAAAACATTTAATCAACTGCAGTAATATTGTCCTGAAAAATTAAATATTTAAATGGTTTTTTTTTAATTTTAGCCATCTGGTTTTAATGGAACTCCCGATTTACCTGTTAGTATCACTTTAATCCAATTCATATTTTTCGCTGTTGTCAGTCTGGTGTGCATGGATGGCGTCGATTCGTCACAGACAAACCTGTTGCCAACCACACCAATTATGTTCAATCTCCCAGTAGAAGGATCGGACCACAGAAGTGGGCCTCCTGAATCCACTTGACAAGAATTGACTTTGGTGAAGTGTGTGCATAACTGATTGTGGTCGGTCTCGTTTTTATAGTTTTCGTCACATTGTGACGTCGGCACAACCTTGAGATACGATTTCTGGAGCGTGCCAGATACGGGATGATTGTCAAAGTTTACAGTTCCCCACCCTGAGTAAACGGACATAATATTTATTATGAACGAAATGAAATAAAATAAACACGAGTCGACAGAGGATCTAACAAATGCGACTTTAATATAGGTACCTATATCGAATTGTTGACAACTTACCGAAGACTCTGATGGTATCACCGACGAAATCGTTGTAAACGTGCTTGAATGGCAAACACACCGGTCCTACCTTAGACGAAAACGGTATTACTTCGTGAGTTTCGACGATGGCCAAGTCGTGTGCGATGGATAACTTTTCGAACAACGGGTGTATATACATTTCGGTGACCACGACCAATAATGATGGATCGCCATCGCTACCTGACAATCGGTAAGCATATGTTAATCGGTATGAAATATAAACATTAAAATTACTTATGAGTTTTGAGTTAGTGAGATTGTATGTAATTTAAAAAATGTCTTCCAGAAAAAATGCTTTCAAAAATACATATTCATTGAAAGGGAGAACGTATGATAAAATTACTTCTGATTTTTACATTGAAAAAATGCAGACAAATGTACATGGAATACTGTAGGTGAATGATGATACAAGATTTAAAAAAAAAATTATTGTCATGTTATTTTTTTAGGTAGAAATATTATTCATTGGATAGTAGGTAGGTACAGTGGTACATTCATAGGCAAAACTACGAGTGAGGCCATTCAAATTATGACCTGACCTAATACTGACTCTGTAAAATACCGACTTAATTGAAATTAAAAACTTACTATGTGATTAGAATTTTTTTCATATTTATCATTTGGCCTGTCCTAATAAATTTTTTAGTTACGTTTATGTGTAAATTATTAATAAATTAGTATCAAAATAATTAATAAACTGTAGCATAAGTTTCAAATAGTACGCTATAGTTCATATTTCGTTCATCTTATACATTATTCTGCCATATAATCTCAATTTTTTAATACTAAATAAAAGATTTAATGTTGATAATTTGTGTTGGTTTTAAAAAAAAGCGTTTATTAAACATTAAAAATTTAATTAAATTTAACTACTTTCCATAACTTCAAAATAATCATTACTATAATGCTATAAAATCGTTAGTTCTAAAATATATCATAACTTAAACAGGGTTATTTAACATATAAAATATTAATGTTGTAAAAATAAATCAATATTATGTTGAATCCTATTATATAGTTATTATAGTTTAAGAAAATATTTGTGTACTTGAATTATTATTGGTTTGAAAAATATACACCAACTAAACTATTTTGTGTGAGTTAATTATTAGGCGAAACACAATTTATGCGGTTCGAATAAAAAAAATCTATCCTAGTTCGGTACGCAAGTCGCACTTGTAAAATAAATACCTCTTTGATGGAGACGCTTAGAACTATTAGAATAGTTAAGTATTCAATAATATTAGTTATTTTGTGACACATTTTGAAGTTTTCAATACTATTCATTTTATACCACCATATTGAAAACTTTTTTGTTTATCTAGGTACTTTAAATTAAAAATTACATATTCTTTTCATTTTTAATCCATAATAAAACATAAGTTAAATGATTAATTTCCTTACCTACATTTTTCAATGTTTTAACTTATCGTCGTTCACTGTCTTATAAATTTTAAGATTTATATATTTTAAAGTTTAATATTAGTTAAATAACTTATTGACTTAAATGGTTTAAATCATAAAAAAAATAAATTACGAGGCGGCAGTCAGAGGATTAAAACGGATTTTTAATGAAACATAATTGCTTCATCGTACACCTTTTGTCCCATTAACTTGTAAAAGTTCTCTTAATACTTAAAAAATTTATGTGATATTAAATTTTTGTAGAAGTCGGTTTCGCATTACTTTTTTTGGAAAAAGCACGAAAGCTGAGAGAGATTAACATTTAAAATATATTATATTTACTGAAAATAATAAAGGACTCATTCATTAGATAATGCATTTACAAAAATAAAACGAACAATATTAAGAAATTTCCATAAATTGTGCTTAACAAAAACTAAATATTTTAAGCACAACAGAAAACTAATTAAATGATTAACAACTCATGTGAAAGACTGAAGTGACTGAAGTGTACTTCATGAAATCTTGAGTGAAAACAATGTTTTAGAACGTATGCTGCTTACAATGGATGTATCTAAGATTGCCTGAATTTGGTGCAGAGGAAAATCGAATTTTATTTCACTTCGATGGAAACGAAAATGGTTTGTTTTTGGTGAATTTAATAGTTCGCCTCCTTGGCCCCTACTGCAAATTCTCTAAACCAGTACATGTCCTCTGCTTACTTATATTATAATGTATGTGTACCTAGAGAGGTCATATCGTGGTCGCCGACCAACAGGGCAATTTGAAAAGGATTGACATTTGTCAGACAGCGAGCTGCAGTCAGCGCGTGGTGCCTGCTAATGATTGTCGCTCCGCAAAACAGGTTGGCGGTCTGCCCGTCGATCAGCGAGGCTAGTAACGGATACTCGTTCACACCAGCCGTTTTCTCGTTGGCGAACACCCCCTGAGAACGTCAAAATCTATTAGTACCTAGGTATTTACACGATTAGGGTAAGGTAATGAAAATTTAAAAAAAAATCAGAGACATGTAGTCACATCTTATAATATTTATTATTTAGTCAAATCTTTACTATAGACACTCCATATCACAATTGAAAAATTATAAGTCTTCAACTTATAATTAGTAAAATCGTATATGTATTATACTTATATGATTGGCATGAATGACTAATTAGTAATTTTTTTATTGGGTATATCTAACCAAAGTGTTTCCTGTATTTTGATAAATTCACAAATATTACACTAATTGTATCCAAACACAATGTCGACAATAAAAAAAAAGTCATTATGTTTATTTAGAGTTTAGTAATATTATATTAAGCATTCAAGCACAATGTATACATGAAATCAGGGTACATAATATATGTTCTTACCTGTTGCAAGACATAAACATTATCAGAATTAAAACTATTAACTAGGTTAAGAAAAAATGTATGCTGTAAGTATATACCTACAACACTTAGCATTAAATCTTAGCCAGTATTTTTTAGTAGACTAAAAACAAGATGTAAGTAGTAAAATAGAAAGTAGATTAACCTATGATAATTTATTAATATAACATAATTATAAGATATAGGAGTAGACAAAATTTGATTTTTCAGCAATGATTGTTTGATGCGCGGGGTTACTGTAGAACAAAACAGTACCTACTTAATAAAGTGTCAAATTTTAATTGTGTGTTTATTAGTCTACGTCGGAAGCGATCGGAGAGGCTAGAAAATATTTTTAAAATATCTATGACCTAACTAATGAAAAAAATTGTAGTCCCGAAAATATAGATAGACATCTATCTACGTATATTAAAATAGCAGGAGCCACCCCGGTTAAAAGTTGAACATTGTAGAGTTCTATACTGTGTATTTACGTTTGTATATTATGTACTTCATTCGTAAGTGCGACAAAAGTTAGTTTTTTCTTCAAGTCTGCATTAGAACTGACAGCGCAATGTGTTTTTATTCCCTTTGAAAATATAAATTAGAAGTTTATGTCATCTTTCACATGGAACACTGGAACGATTCCACGAAAATACGAACTTTGCCCCGTAATTATGTTGCAGCAAAACTACACGATTCTTAAGTTTCCAAAATATATTAATGGGTGGAAGTAAAAGAATCTGCGTTAGTGCATGGCCAAAGTGGCTGAGACAGCTTCACCCTTCTACACAATTTTAGAAAAGTTTAAAAATGCTTTCAGTGTTCTGTGATTTGTCAGATATGCACACAACCATGTATTAAAATTGTAATTTGTACGAAAGTTACTAATAATTCTATAATATTATACACCCTCGGAAACACCATACCAAACTTATGTGGGATCCTAGTTAAGCTTTCCCCTACGGCTACATAACGAATTATCGACCGCCAAGCAAAATCTTGGTTATACGCCACTGTCCGGAGTGTAATAATATAATATTGATATTATCGGTATTGTTTTATACCTGGTCTTGCTCTCCGCACTCGCAGAACTGTGGGTTCGTCACGGTCTCTGGGATCCAAAAATCAACGCGTTTCGCTCCCACCGAACACATGAACCGTCCACTTCTGCTCTGACGTTTCGCCACGAACTTGATGTACATCCTGTTGGTACGACTGATAGCCGTGAACGACCTAGGTCCGCAGTGCCTGACGCCGTCCGTGAAGTTAGTGTCACCGACACGAGACACGATTAATGCGTCCGATTTACAAAAAGAACTCTGCAAAAAAACATACACCCAGTAAACGCATAAAATATCTATAATGATTATGTAAAATATAAAATGTTTCGTACGATTATTTTATTATATTTGAGCATCCAGTAACAGCTACTTTATTTACACATTCGTGCCTAAATTAATCATACGAGTGACGTCGAGGATAGCTTAAATGTATCAGTAGTTTGGATAATAGGAAAGGAATTGATTGACGTGTATAGTATAAGAAAAATAATACATTAAACAGATACCAAATTTATGTAACAGGTATAATATAATAGTTATTAGGTGAGTCAATTTCTCTGAATTGAGCTTTTCAGAAATATGATGTTTGCTTTATAGTTTACACCTGTGGGGAACTTAGACTCGAAACTAAGAATTAATACGTTCAACGCGTATACCAATTGAGATGAGTTAGAGAGTAGAAGCAATAGATTTAAGTATCTCATATAACAGAGTCGTATTCGAGTATGGGTCCAACAAGCAAACAGCACATTATTATAGAGCTTTCGGTGGAGATTTCAACTGTTCGTTCGTTTGATACTACATATTATAAGGTCTCGCCGGTGTAGCATGACATAGAATATATAGATGCACTGTAGCGTGCAGCTGCAGCCACCGGGTGCTTAATATAAAAATAACCATCTGGTAGATAAACATAGGAATACCTCGGGCAAATCAAACTCGTGGCAGTCCAACACCAACCGATCGGCGGGCGAAGGCGTCTTAGCAAACCACCGACATTCCCGGTCCCGGTCGTCGGCCAGGTACGGTTCCGGGTAACCGGGTGAGTACAAGTAGTATGACCTGTTGCCGGGCTCGATGAGCTGGTAGAACTCGCAAAGGCCCCCGTCGAAACGATAGTCGTCGAAGTCTCCCGAGTCCGCGGCACAAGTCGTGACGATGCAACACGACCAGCACAACAGCCACGCGCCGATCGTCGACAGCCGCCTCAGCAACGTCGACGATTCACCGCCGCTAATCATCATCAAAATATTATGTTTATAAAATGGTTTTCCGACTGACCGTGTTTTAGCGAAAGTCGAGCGTCTTCGCGGTGTGTGGTGATTTACGTTCGAAAGCAGACGGTTTCCCAGTCGCTGGTTCTGTTGGACGGCGCACCACCGGTTATTGTCGAGTGAATCGAACGGCTGCAATGACGTGCAGGAGGCCGAAAATGCGATTAACGATTTAATGCATAATACATCATTATCGGTATATTATAATATATGGGCAATGCGCGCTGCAGTTCACAATATAATAATGCGACGGTAGATAATAGTTTACATATACATATAATAGAAATCGAATCGGGAACACACCGCTACGCCGCCGACTGTTTTCGGTCGTAATTCAATTTATTATAAACTTGGGGCGTCCGCAGATAATCGCGCACTGGAGGTAGGTAGGTGTAGGTATGGCCATTAAAATATGTAGACACTGAATATTTTAATTAGAACGCGCTCGGCGGCGATAAATACAATTTCTCCGCGTGTCGCCGTCCGACCCGTGGTGCGCGAGCGCCTTTTCACTCACCCGAACAATGAGCGAAACAATACACTGTATTTTTATGAAAAAATAAAATAAGGTGATATTACGAGGCGCCAGGCGGTTCTAGGTTAGATGGACGACTATAACTGCGGGTGGGGGAGGAGATGTCGTTAAATATGAAAGCGACGATAAATCACTGCGATTCAACAAAGTGATTCTGTGCGGTGTTAACCCCGGAAATTATACCTAAGCTATTTTTTGGTTCAAAAAATGAGTTTTTGCAACAGCTCCGTTTATACATTTTGTATAACATTTATACATTTTGCCGTCTCGTGTTTGATCATAACATAATAGTTATTACATTATAGTCACATAATTTATAATATATTAAAATCAGTGTATTCTGATGTATATTATTATATATTTTCGATTGTAGTTTTGTATACTGTTTTGTTGATTATTGTATTACTCACGGTGACACGATGAAACTTGAGTGTGTCACTGAGACGGGTGCTTTCAAAGCTTAAAATATTATGTTCACTTTCAACCTTAATGGTGGCTGTGTTTATTCTTTTTGAGCCCTTTTTATTAACCCAGATAATATTATTATGGCTTATATTTTAAGTCGGATTCTAATGATCAAGTAGAAAACTTTGAAATGTATATTTTATCAAATGCTTAAAATATGCATAAGATTTTAATGATCATAGCAGTATGATAAATTAATAATAACTAACAAGTAACACACAGGGCTCAAAGTGGGAAAAAAATCCAAGAGGGAGGCTAATCTGTAATCACTCCATATATAGTCTTAACTTTTAAGCGTTCCATATATAAAATTATATGTATAATGTTTATGTAATGTATAAACAGTGATTGCGTAAGCATGCTCATCTCACTTTTAAGTTTTAACCTTGAATAATATTCAATTTTGTAATTTATTTCGTATATAATTAAAATTACAAATAATACTACATTTTTAAAGGGGACGCTTTTTAACCACCGTCAGAGGTCCCGAACTGAGTCCCTCTGCACCCCTCAATTTAACGCCTGGTAATACAACACGCTCCGTACATAACATAGGTACCTAATTATTTCTTATAACTCATTTATGATGCGTAAAATATATTATATTGTGTATTGTAAATAGTAAATTCTATAATATATTGACTGCACTTTCAGTACTATTTCCTACTTATCTATTTAAAAAAAAATGTAATTAAAATGTTATTCTAAAACAAACACTAGCAATCAAAATAAAAACCACACTGTTACAGTTGTAACGTTTAGTCATTTTGGGCACCCCAAGTCAAGCATACGCTATACTCTACATATTTTTGCTTGGGCCGCATTAGTTGGAGAAAGAGAGAGGGGTGATTCACAGTGGATAAAAATGAATTAATCTTGGGAGGCTGCTAGGTGAGTTATGTTTATGACTGTATGAGCATGGCCGTATTAGTATAATATCATTTATTAGTAGGTATAATAATATAATACCGAAACGATTTTGAGTAGCCATATTAAACCTGCAGTGTCAAAATCGTATGTTTGTTTTAATATTGATAAACTCAATTGAAGAATACCTGATGTATCTAGGAGTGAAATCCAACAGATCCCGTACCTAAGCAGCACCTGGAGGGTGTGACAAATAAATTCAAAACCTAATTTCAAAATAATTGAAAAGTATTTGGAACTGCATGTTGAGATCTAAATGCAACACTCTAGAAAAAAACTATTACAATGCATTTTTGTCATATTATGCAATAATAATTTATATATATTTGAGTCTTTTGGTCACGGCTAATTTACCCTACCTATTTTAATATTTATGATAAGCTTCTACTTAATTAGAGATGAAGTTGACCGTATATAGTGTATACAAAATATTATTATTATAAGAATATGAGATTATCAATAGCGTATGCACTCTGTCTTTCAATTATACTATTTAATATACGTAATTACGCATTTTTGTATTTTTTTTTAAAGATTAAAAAACAAATTAACGACGATCGTAATAAATGCGTAACCGTCGGATATAGTTTTAATTGAATTCATATATTATAGAGGTCGAGGCGTTCACAGTAGTATTCTTTTAGCTTCCCGATAACAATTTAATTAACGTCGTTTTATTCAACAATTATTTATTTTAATTTTAATTGAACGGTGGTCATTTTCGATTAAAAAAAAAACAAATTAACACTTTCAAATAAAAATAATAAAATTAACCATCTAAAGTCACTGGGACAACATATTTTTATTGATTTATATAATTTCATTGATGTGTTAATTTATACCCATGATTGATTGTATTATATAATTACGTCAGCAAAACAAGTACACTTTAAATTAATTTTAAATTAAAATATTTTAAAAAATATGCGTTTACTCTTTAGACTGTTGCTTTAGGGTATAATAATTAAAATGAAGGTGCAATGCTGTTAAGCATAATTCAGTTATTCGATTAAATGAAACAAAATTACACCATGATAACTGAAATGTTCAAAATTGAAATACTGTAGGTAGAGGAAGATGTTTCCGAATTCTGATAAACAATTTATTTAAATGATAGTCACAGTCACGTATACAAACAAATAGTTTTAAAAATATATAAACACATAACTTGTAAATCAACGTTTAATATTATGTTTACCCATACGACGTGTACATCGCGGAATTGGAGGGCTTTAAGTTCCCCCTATGATGTTTTTTCAATTCTCCCACCAGAAGCATTAGTAAATGAACAACTATTATAAATGATAATATTTATAGATTTTTAACATTTAGTTTAAAATATACATAATAATATTAAAATCATCTGTTATATTATATTTACTACCTCTTACATTTATTTACATGATGTTTGGGAGCCAAATTTAAGCTGTAAATTTACGATTGAAATCAATTAACTGTTAATTTTTATAATGCATAAATATGTCAAGCTGCTACCGTTCCACTATACAAATTCAAACAAATATTAGCAAACGTATTTATCTAATAATTAAAATTTGTACCTTATTTACAAATTAGAATACTATAGACCACATTATTATAATTATTTCAAAATATGGTGTTAACATAGTAACGAGATAATTTTAATCAGTTTCCTTCTAGTCCAATCTATTTTTTTAAATATTTATTAGGTACTTGCTTACGTAGATACTAGATAGCAAGTAGCAGTTTCATTTATTAAACGATGAAATAAAAAAGGCCAAAAAAATTAACAATACTGATAATTTGAAAAAAAAAATCTACCAAATAAATTAAATGTTCCATTATAAATTAAATTCAAAATTCCTACATGTATACACATACCTACTGATACCATGGTATATAATTATAGGTACAAATGCCATATTTTTAGATTAGAATTGTACACCCTTTAATATTATATAAATGAGTGATGGGGTTTTTATTATATTATAATTGTATGTATTTATATATTATAGGTTCCTACGTTTCCGATTTTTTAAATTTATTTGAGTTTAATGCAAAATTATAATCACTAATGTAGAGCACGAAAATGATTTAATCTGTAGGCAGGGTGTTGCAGAGTGGCAATCGATGTTTACTCATTTATAAAATTATAATACACATTTCAGTTTCATTGAAAATTATGCCTTATAGTGCAGTTTTTCCACGCTCAAAAACTGTTTAAGTTTTATCCTACAATTGTGTTTTTCATAATATTTTCAACACTCTGCGGAATTTTCCTCACTGCCCAAGTAGCTCGTGCGTCAATTTATCAAATCTGACGTTTGCAAAGTAATTCAACCTTTTGCTTCGGTATTTTTTCACTACGAGCTATTGAAACTTTATTGTCTGGACCACGCCAAGGAAACGAAAATACCGATATTAATATCTAAAAGACTCGAACTAGGGAAATCTCAATGAAACAACAGGACACATACTTAGAGAACTCGTTACGAATCATACCATAATATAACATGTTCAGTAACAATTCTGAATTCAAACTATATTCACAAATCAAATAATAAAAAGATTTTTAAAATTAAATGCTGCATATTTGATAAACTCAATTGATATATTCAAACACATTTAAAATTCATCGTATACATTTTTTTACAATCTTTTTAATACACATAGACATTGAAAATAGTGACGATAGTTTTTGATAAATCGCTTTTATTTCATCACATAATCAGTTTATAGTTTGTACGTCAACTTAACGCAATATTAAATCGAATGAATGAATACAATTGAATAAAAAATCGTTATTTTACAAGTATGAACATACAAATTTTTTTTCGAATAAAATTGGACGTCATTCCACGGCATTGACGTCACCGAGTAATCGGATCCGGGTTCGGCCTGTAGGCATTGACGGACTACAATTATAGCTGCACACTAGGCGAATGTCCATCGGACGTTAGACGCGTGGAAGTAGGAAGTCACCGAAACTTTGCCATTTGCGAGCTAAGTTCGTCGTACTTTTACTGCCAACCACTTCCTCACAACGTAATTCCAAAGAATTTCTACGAATATACAATCTATCGAAGAATTTCAAATTTGAATGCACCAAGTGGAAATGTTGGAAAAGTAAGCAACTCTAGAATAATTCTAGAAAAAAATCTAACCTTTTTAAGGTAGTGTTACTCGTTATTTTATTATTTTATATTAATAAAAATAAGTTAAGTTTAAAATTAAGTTAATGAAAATTAAATTGGAAAAAGTTATGTGAAATGGTTTAATGAATGTTAACTTACGTAAACATCGACTCTTTATACTCTTTTAATCGTGTTGAATCATATCTAGAGTGCTATGCATCGCCGTTTGCCGTTTAAGAAGC